TAGCTATGCAGCTTGGGCGGTGTGTGGGCAGAACTTGGTGAATCACACTGGTCATTTGCTGGCACATCCTGAGGCATTTGCGAAGATGGCCAGGAGCTGTTCCAGCACATTTCAACTTGGCTAGAGGCGGCGCAGTGGGTCCATGGGCGTTGAAGACCTCGGTCGACCCAGCTGGGCTTCTCCAAGCTGTTGAACGACCCAAACGCCATCGATCCGTCCGTGGTTGACGTGACGCAGGGCCAAATGATTGATCCACATTTACCCATTATATCGAGGTGGAAACACCTCCCAACCCTGCAAACACCTGGTGTTTGAGTGGTGCTATTATATAATCATGGAAATATATTAAGGTGGTCCCCCTCACTGCAGAAGATAGGACACCAGAAGTCCCCATTCAGCACCCCTTTTTTGATGCCTGTCATCCTAGAAACCGTGACAAATGCACAGACATGCCGTGTGAAGACCCCTGAATGAACTCTTTGCACCTTCCTGGGTGGACGATCCCCAGTCGACCAGTGAGGTGGGCATGCTGCCATCGAAAGCGCGCCGGGCACTCGGGCCGATGCACCGGTGTTGGGTGCATTGCATCTCCCAACATGTCCTGCCCAAACCGGAGAAAAGAGGAGACGACTGATGTCGGTGAGTTCCTTGGAACTTCTCCCCCTGTGCAACGGTGTCCGTCTGCAGCTTCTGCCGTGGCTCGAGACACGGCGCCGGGTCTCGACGCCATGGAGGCGCCGCTGCAGATCTGCGAGGCGATTCGCCGCGTGAGCGGTACGGACCCGGTGGTGGGGGTGGAATGGGGAGTGGGTGGAGTGGACCAGTTGGGTGAGGCAAAGGTCAGTAGTAGAAGTAGAAATAGCAGTAGCAGTAGCACTAGCAGCAGTAGTAGTAGTAGTCGTCGTAGTAGTCGTCGTCGTAGTAGGAGGAGTAGTAGTAGTTGTGGTGGTGGTGGTAGTAGCAGTAGTAGTTGTTGTGGTAGCAGTCGTCCTCGTTGGAAGTCCAAACCTCAAGTGACTCAAGCCTAAGCGTCAAAGCCAAAGCCCGTTCCAGACCTTGCCAGAACGTCTTCAGTTCCAGGACCGTATCACATGGGGCGAGCTTATGCGGGATGAGATGGCGCAACAATCCTTTGGTGAGATCAACGAAACTCTAGCAGCCTCTCGGCGGAGGGAGGGCTTTCTTCCTTTATATATACGTTGGTGTCCGTTGGTGTCCGACACCGTGCGACTGTCCGTGGTGCGACCCAGGCGGCCCAGGAGCAAGGCCTTCTGACCTTGGAGGGCTCGCCCGGTGAAGAAGAGACTCTCATCGTCTTATGTTCATCGGAGCCCCCGGAGACGGAGGCGGCACCAGAGGCTGCTGAGGCATCTGCGGTCACCTTGGCTGAGGAGCCACAGGACGAGAAGTCGCAGCTCGAGGAAGAAGCGCCGCCTCCGGCGTCTGAGCCGATCGAGGCGATACCCGCGCCGGTGGCAGAGCCTGCGCCAGAGGCGGAGGCAGTGCCTGAGCCGGCTGCGGTTGCAGAAGCACCTGCAGAGCCGGCACCGGCCGCGGCACCGGCCGCGGCACCGGCCGCGACGGAGCAAAGCACCGGAGAGGTGCTCTCGTCCACATCCTCGGCAACAGCAACTTGCTTCGGAATGAGTCCATTTTGAAAGCTAGGTGCTCGAAAAGTCTGGCAACTGTGTCAATCATCATGAAATTGGCATATAACAAATAATTATATATATATATATATCGCTAGTCCCAGGTGCTCGCATCAAGGGTTTGCCCATATTCAATCCATTTGCACCGTCCTTCTCAGGTGAAGAAGACCGAGGATGGTAAATGGAAGGTGGACACCGGCTACATCGACCACCGCACCAACGACCCCAATCGATTGGAACCGCGGCGGTCGGTGCTGGATGGAGCGATGGCAACCGCAGCGCCGAATGCGGGGGTTGTGGTGGGACAAAGCAGCAAAGATGATGATGGCAAATTCAAGGCGAGCCTGGACCTCACCTGCCTGCGACGAATAGAGGGTTCAGGAGGGTATGAAGCAGGGTCTGAATGAGGGTTTTGCTGGATATTTTGAAGGAATCGGTATGAATCGGATATAGTGGTCATTAGCCCTTTTCTTTGCGGTTGAACCGTGCATCGTGACCATGGCTGAAGCCGCGGGGGTAGTGGCCCTCGTTAGCCGCAGGAATGGAAGGTCCATGATGTCCGACACAGTCGAAAGACGATATTTGTACCTTTTGACTCATTGAAAGTACCGTTCTTTTCCCCTACACCAGGTACGCCTTTCAGACAGGTCGTATTTTTTAGTCTTGGACTTGTCAGGGTGTAGCTAACACATTACGAACAATCATCCTGAAGTAGCTTGAATTGGCCCATAGAACACATGGCGTTTTGTGCAGTTAGCCTGTCAGTGTAAACATTCTGTATGCGTCTGCAAGCCATGGATGGTTTACACAAGTTATCACAAGTTTACACTTGCACACTTCCACTTACCCATCACCAATCCACTCTTGATACCATCGCTCAATGTCGCAGATTGGCCTCAGACCTTGATCACTCGGGGACTCCCAAGGAAAGGTCATTGAACAAGCTGTGGGTTTCGACCTGAGACAAGCGACACATCCCTCTACAGGTGGACACCTCCTACATCAACCATCGGACCGGCGAGGCTCGGAGATGGTCGTGTCGCGAGGACCGGAGGCGCTCAGGAAAGTGGAGACTCTAAGACACCCAGGTGTTCTCCTTCCGCACGCCCTTTGGGCAGGATAAAGATGTATGATTGTCAGGACGTGTCAGGACGTATCTATGGATGACGTTCCCTACTGCACCTTAAACACGAAAGGAATGCATACAATACACAACCGTTAAAGACTCAAAGACAATCTCCTCCTGAAGTGTGCTGCCGGGTGCCGTGCATTTCTCCCTTTCAGGCCCTGGCATTTCTTCAAGTACCCCACAAGGACCAAGTTAAACCTGGTCCTTGACCTCATTGAGTACTGTTTTTGCATGACCAGACCCAGTCAAATGCGGTCTGCGACCTGTAGGGCTCCTTCACTCCAATGCCGCTTCCACGAAGCGTCCGCCAGGTGGACCGCCTTGAGGGGCGGCGCTCGGTGGTCTTGGGCGGGCCAGATATGGGACATTCTGCGACGGTGAAGAAGGACGATGGAAAGTGGAAGGTGGACACCTCCTACATAGGCCGGGTCACAAGTCTGACGCACCGTGCCTGGTGCTGAATGAGAATGAGGGAATGAACTAACCCACAGCGCCACTGCTTCTTTGCTTCTTGAATCAGTGTTCGGCCTGGCCCAGCAGATCCGGCGGTTTAGCAGATGGGCTCACCGCTGTTGTCCCCGGTGCACTGCACCTCGGGTCTCCAGAGGAACCGCGCCCGGCGTGTCGGACCGGCTCCCAGGCCACCGGACCGGGGACACGGACAACCTCACCCGGAAAGAGGAGAAGCAGGACGAAGCCCGCTATGCGGATCCCAGCGTCAAGAAGTACTCCCATCAAGAGCTGAAAGCGAGCCAAGGCGCATTTCAACACCGACAGATGCCCAGTAGATTCGCAAGAGTGTGGACTCATTTGTAACTGTTTGGTTTGAGACATTTGGAGAATCCAATCCCCACCTGCCACTTGCCTCCACTTGCCGTTGTTGACGTTCGCGGTGCTCCGGCCGCCTTCCAGGCCGCCCGCCCGACGTGGACCCCGCGCGGCGGGAGATGTACCTGTCGGAGGCCGACTTCGCGGCGGTCTTCGGGATGCCCATGGCGGAGTTCCAAAAGCAGCCCAAGTGGAAGCAGCAGAATGCCAAGCGCCCGGGCTCTGTTTTGACTTTACGGAGAGATACGGAGAGTGTTTCAGGGAGGATGGTTTTTTGGAGGTCGACCACAGGGGGGAGCTCCAAGATGTCCAAGATGTTCCGTTGTTTGCGGGACCGAGCAGGTGTTGGCTCGTTGGGGTTGGGAGCCAGCTGGGTCGAGGGGCCAGAGCGTGTGGCTTGTGTGTGGCTTGTTTCCGGCAGACCTGCTGTAGTCTGGGGATGATGGAGGCGTGCTGCACTTCTTCGGCAGATGTAGGGACCTTATTGACTCAGACGGAGGGCTTTCAGGGCTTTCAGGCTTGCTTGTTCCGGCTTGTTTGGCCACGCGAGCAATTTAGCAAGTTGGGCTTATAGCCGGATCCCTGTCCCTGTCCCTCGAGTCAGTTTTGTGGTCACCGACTCCTTCTGGGCCACAAGGGTCACCAAGGGATTCTTTTGGGTGCACCGTCTGCTGGAAAACAACTTCAACAAACTTTTGGCATGTGAAGAATGGGCAAGCCTTTGGCAACTGTTTTAAATCAACAACTTAAAACATGATTGGAGAATTTGAAAAAATCATTTTTTTAAAAAGAGACACCTAATACATCCCGTCCCACCGCGTGTTTTTCATCCTACTATGTGTCTTCCCGTTGGGCCCTTTTGGATTAGCAGGGTCAATGGCGCCGTCCGGTGGGTTGGCTGATCCGAGGAAGTCGAAGGACCTCTTCTGAGCGCGCGGCGAGTAGCGCCCTAGCTGGCGACATCTGGACGCGTAGAGCGGAATGGGGCACGGCTTTGTGGATCAGACCTGCCAGGAACTTGGGGTGTCAAGGGCCAAGAATCCTTGTACAGGCAGGTTCTTCTTCTTTGTTCTTTTCGTGCGAAATGGTCACAAAAACAGAGAACGCCAAGACGCTTTAGCAATCTCTAGCAGCTATATAAGTGCAGTAGGTTGAGAGATGTTGAGAGTATATGGCCCCAAAGCGCTGGACCACTGAAGATGAGTCCTCGCATTCAAAAGCCTAGAGTTGCGCTTGTGCCATTTGACTTTGAACGCCACCGTTTTAGCATAGATCGACTGTTCCCAACCGGTGGCCTGGCCCGAAGCTCCGCGCGTTGGAATCAAGCTGTGAATCGAGCGAATCGAGTCGCTGAGTTGGGGCTTTTCGGTGAATCCGAAGGCGCTCGGAGCGCGGTCCTTGTGGGTCCTTGCGTGGGGCCTGCGAGACCCCGCTCTGGCGCGCTGGAAGCGGTTCTTTTGGAAGGAGAGATCAACGATAAATGGTTCTGAAGAGCTCCTTTTTGCATCGGTGGAAGGGCCTCCAAGAGGATGCCCCTTGTTAGCTTGGGCGCGCGGCACATGCAGCGCCCGATTGGGCTCCCCGCGAGCAGAAAAGATGGAAAATATGGGGTGATACCAGGGGTCGTGAGGACTGATAGACTTGCTATCGTGTTGCAGTCCATTCTGTTCATTTGTGAAGATCAGCTCTCTCAAGAGGAAAAACGTCGAGAGGTGTGACATTGAGGCAGAACATGACCACCAAGCCTTAGCTAGGGTAGCATGTCCGATTGCACATGCTAAAGCGCCATGATTCCGATTTGCTTCTCGATCTTTTCGCTTCACCCTCTTCGGTTTCCACTGAGGTCTCGCCGCCTGGGCGACCGTCGCCGGCGCGGGTCGGGCCTGCGACGGGCAACACCAAGCGCTGGCACGGCTGGTGGCCAGGGGTGCGCTGCCGGCGAAGCCATGGCGGGGTTCCCTGGTAGTCCCGCTGCCTGTGGGACGCGATTAATTTTTATAGGCTTAATTTTTCTGCATCCGCAGGTGAGCCTGTGCATGTTGCTAGGGGAGGACCTACCCAGACTTAGCTGGCCAACAAAGACATGAATTCAGCAACCAAGTCCAGCCGTGGGCGGGATGTGAAACTTTTCGCTGAAGCGCACCGTGTGACCCGTAGACGAGCTGATTCTTCGGGCGAAGTGAGGCAGATCTCTTTGGATGAAGGGAATGCGAGCGAGTGGAGGAAGGATTCACACGCCACTCATCTGCAGTGATGAGTTACGAGAAGGAGATAGGTCGGATGTTGGAGATAGATCATTGGGTTGTTCGTGAAACAAACGCAGCACGACCGTGAAAGTGGAGGTTTCCTTTGTCCCGGCGGGCCCGGCGGTTTGGATGGACATCTGGGCCCCGAAGAAAGATCATGGAAGCAACGACTGAGCTGTGGAAGAAGTGCTCGTTCACGAAGCAGTTCGCGCTCGTTCTGAGGTTTGCTGACCTTTTTGGATCACAGCTTGCTGAGCACGAGTTGGAATCGCTTGGTCTTCAGCGGCGCCCTGGCTGTTGGGGAGAGCCGTTCGCCTCGCCCCTGCCCGATTTTTGGCCAAAAAGACAGTGCTGCAGCTGTAGAGGGTTTGAAGCTGGCATTGATGAGCATCACATCACCCGTCTAATTGCTAGAAGCCACTTGTAGCACCCTATAGCCAAATTACTATGTATTTATTATTTGTAACTGCATAAAACTGATTTTGGCATGCAGGGGAGAAAGGGAATTTTAAACCATGTGTTTTCGTTCTGGGTCAGGCCCAACTCCATGCACTGGGGAGGCAAGGTCCTCCAACTCCCATGCCAGCCAAACTAGCCTCCTTCTTACACAAACACACTGGACACCGACTTTGCCCCAGACGCCGCAGACCGGGGATATAGAGACCGGTCTCGCACACCTCTTCCAGGGTCCGAAGACCGAGCCTGAAGGTCGTCGTGGACAGGAGCTCCCACCCTAAAGACCCTGAGCACCCTGACTTGGGGAGCATCCCATCTGCAATCCCAAACCTCAGGAGCCTCTGCACCTGCTTCCCTTCGGCTTCCCGAGGTTGGCCCCTCCTGGCCGTGCTGCATCGGCTGCAGGAGGCCGATCAGACGAAGCCAAGCCTCGTGTTGTTCAGCACGTGTCAAGCAAGCGGATGCTTCCAATCAGGGGAGTCTGTACATCACCCATTCTTGGATCAGTCAGTTGCGCGACGTCGTCGCGGCATGGCATTATCACGAAGCCGTGATCGAACGGGCGCAGGGTGGGGTTGGGCTACATAGGACAATATGCTATGATGTCCTATGTCCTATGTGCCCTGCGTGCGTGTGGCAGCGGCTACTTTCCCCTATTAACATAGCATCTACCGTCTGTCTACCTGAGAAAAAGAACTCCAAACGTCCAAAACCTTCGAAAGCCCAAGATGTGGTGGGTCGTGAAGAAAGGGATGCGGTGGGTCGTTTCATAAGTTCCTTCACCTGTGCAGATCCACTTCCGTGACGCCTGCTGCGCCAGCGCCGGTGGCTACCTGCTGCGCAGCCGTTCCGCGCGCCCCTCCTCGGCCGAAGAAGACCGCGAAAGTGGCGCGGCAGCCCGGCGGCTGAGTGGGATCAGATCCGGTCTTGGACACATGAATCACCTGAGTCAGTGACTCAGCTTCTGAGTCTTGGGCCCCAGCGGATCGGCTCGGTCACGGATCGGCAGAATACTCTCCCTCCAACGGCCTCTTGTCTGTCCACCGCGCGGAGTACGACCGGTCGCCCCAGGTGTGGCTCTGCGTCAGTCGGCACCGCGGCGACCTGGTCGCCGAGAGGCGGGGGACACCGGAGGAACATTCATGGCCCTTTGGATGACCATTTTCCTGAAGATACCTATCAGGTGCCCAGTCAGGTGCCCAGTCGAAGTCGAAAAAGACCACTTCCTTGGCCCTCAGTCAAGCAAAGGACGTGCCCTACTTTCAGGTACCCTAAAAAAGACCGTTCATTTATAGTAGTCTTTGACTCCCAGGGGGTGGGGAAAACCACTTCCATGATTCGTTCGGGGGGCGTCTTCCGAAGCAGAATATCCCTGTCCTTCGGCATGAGCTTGGGGCACCTCCATCCGGCGAACGTCCCAGGTGGCGCAGCCACGGAGAGTTCGCGGACTGCTCGGCCATCGCCCAGCGACTGGGGGTGGCGGAGCTCGGAGTGGGAGGCTTCCTGGATGTAGGCGGGGGGATAGCTGGAGCAAGCGAGGTGCTCGGTGCTGGTCACGAAAAACACCAAACAGTTTCATCCACGTGATGACCATCTCTGAGAGGTGCCAACCTGGGCAGCTGCTCTCTTCTATTGGCACAGCAGGCCCCGATTGACGTGTTTGGTTAGGTGATTTGGGCCCTATAAGATGCCCTAAGCGGGCTAATCATTGCAAGAGTTGTTCATTGACAGCATTAGTGGGAGGAAGTAGCCGGTAGCATGCAACTTTAGATCCCACTATTTTGTGGCTATCGGCCAGCCTTTCAATATTGGGACCACATCCAGTGCACTCACCACACACCTACATCACATGCTTGGGAAGGCTCATACAATGACACCCCTGTTTGTCGTGCTAATCTGTGTTGTGGATCAATGCTGCCCCCGTGAACCCAAGAAGGCCCCAATTGAAGAAATGGATAGAAATGGACCAATACCGTCTAAATGTTTCAATCTGGGAAATCCAACTCCATCCGTCAATTGTTTGCATTGAAGAGAGAGAGAGAGAGATTAGCACAGGTAGAGTCTACCTTAGCTTAAGAGTCTATTTATTAACCCCCAATTGAGGTCCTTCACTTCCCCCTGTGCCCCGGTCAGGGCTTCTCAGTGACGTCACTGGAGCCCAATGAGCACAGCGCCCGGCTGCTGCGTGCGGCGGTGCTGCGCAACAGCCTGGAGCAGCACGTCCGGGTGGTGCAGGTGCCGGGTGGGGGAGGGAGCACCCCCTAAAGCTTCGCATAGGGATGGTGAAGGTGAAAGTATGTGAAAGTGCTCAACTCTGGAAGGAGTGGAACTATGTGGAATTCATGATCTGAAGGAGTTCCAGGATCCTTTCCATCCGTCCAATACACAGCTGACTTCATGTCGTCAGAAACACACGGCCCAAAACCCCGCTCTGTGAGCATTGCGACCGCAGCGGCGTCCGCAGCGGCGTCCGCACGCCGACCCCCTTCGGACAAACTCCCGGGTCCTCCCGTGGAGGCCGCCGCCGGTGCCCACGGTGTCCGGGCCTCCGTGCACTGCAGCGCGCATAGCGCGAGGTGCCAGGCGGGGGCGGACGGGTGACCAGTCTGAGAGGATGGGGTGACCAGCGGTTTGGGTGGCATGGCAAAGCAACACTCGGGACGAGTCTTACAAAACTAACGCCAGGTGGTGTTAGTTTGGGGGAGTGCAGGTCCCTCCAGAGGCTTCGGAGGTTCAAAGTTCAGCAGATCTTTAGTAGCTGGATTTTGACAGATGAGACTTTCTAGATTCTAGAGTTTGGAGTGGTATGTTATTTGATGTTCATGGGATTTCTGCCCAAAACCAGAGAGCTGAAGGGGTGTCCTGTCTTAACATGTTTTCGGGCACTTTTTGGTGGAGAATCCATTGGCTCGTGTTGTTCGCCCATGGGCGCCCCAAACGGTGGAGGTCTTTGAGGATGCCGCTGGGGATGTGCAGAGCGCTGCTTGGTGGAAGAGTCACGTTTTTTTTCACCACTCCTGGTTCTTCCAGCAGAGTCTGCCGAGCTTGGCTTTGTTTGTGTGTCATCCCCACAGGCAGTGAAGCACTGCAACCATTGCTGGATCATTCTCATGATCTCATGAAATTCATGAGTTGAATGTACCTTCAGCATCCTGCAGCTATATACCTCCGTCTCATCTTTCGATTGACCTCGCAGGGCTGGTGATTCTGCCCTCCCAGCGACCTGTG